CTTCTGGATGATTGTGTAGCTATTGATCATCACACCTGAGAAGTTGATTCATTGCATCTGCTCCCAGAGCAAAAAGCGTTTTTTGCTGATCTAGAGATTGATCAGCATGGAGCTCTGGTGAGTTACCCAACTTTACTTTGGTGGTGGATTTTGGCACAATTTCTTTGAGAGCACCTGAATTTGAAAAGGATTTGTTTGGATATTTGAAGAAATTCAGAATTGGACATTTTTTTATATTCACAAATTTAATTATTTAAATTACTTATGCACTAAAAAATAGTTTTGCACATAATTTTGATATTTTTTGATATTAATTGAGAATAGATATATATATATTTTTTAGCACTAATGTTTCTACACTAAAGTAGGAATAGTTTGTGGTTTTAGCGCATTCCTTTATTACAGTTATACAATCGCCTTTAGATCTACCATGGGTGACAGCAGCAGTAGCAGCTAGAATAGAGAAGAGTCCAACACGGATGGATGTGTTGGTTTTCTTTTATTTTTGGGTGTCTATAATTTAACAGTTACTAAAGTGACTCAGTCACTACAGAGCCACTTCTTAGCTTACCTCAGCCTGTGAAAAAAGAACATCTATACTCACCATTCAGGTGGCTTATGTCTTCAAACACTACCATTTCGCTGCTTCCCGGCCACTGCATGTGTTTCACACTTCCAGCTATGTGAATACCTGCTGGTCTTGCTGCACACTGTGTTATTTATTGATATAAGTGATATATATTATATATATATCAGTGCAAGATTATGAGCTTGCAGGAATAACCAGTGTGCAGTGGAGGGACAGCAAGCTGGCAGCATTTGAAGATATGGGCCACCAACAAAGGCAAGTGTACAAGCTCTTCTTTTACAGGCTGAAATTACTGTACAAGTGAATCTATGGAGATACAAGTCATTGCCCAGAGGGGGCGGTAACATTACTTTCCCTCCTGGATTGCTGCATGCACCTGATGAATGATATGAAATACCCGGTAGTTCCAAGTATGGTGTATAATGTGACTTTCTTTTTTTCATCCTGCTTGAGCAGCCAGTTTTCACCTTTACAGTGTGTAAGCACCAACAGGATAACTTGGATATATACAGGGCTGCCGCTTCTTCACAGTCCAGTAGATAAGTGAGACAGCAGGGAGGTAAAGAGAAGCAAAGTATAAGCTGTTCAGAAAAAAAGTGAACCTGTTGGGTTTTTATTTCCCTGTATGGGAAAAGCACAGGTTTTCTTTAAAAGTGGTAAAAAAAAGTACAGTGGTACTTGGCATGAGTCTAGGGGGATACTAGTTAGAAACTGTTACAACAGTTCTCTTTTACTGGCAGGGGGGATCCAGATCCTCTTTCCTTCATCGCTGTGTAAGCCGTGTACCGGGGTGGGCTCCCCAGGATAGTGAAGTCACGAACGAGGAAAGCAACCCCAACACCAGGTTTTGCCACAACAGAATTTTACTTAGATGTGGCAAATAAACACAACCACAAATGCTGGGAACATACAATAAATTTACATACACCCAGCCCAAAGGCTGAGACCCTTGTGCTGCACAGCACGGCGCCTTCTGATGGATGAAGGTAGAAAGTGAAGTAATTTACCTACTGGCGGGGGCACAACTAAGCTGCCACACCTTACCTGTTATTACCCTAAAAGAGCAAAAATCAGTGTATGGGTGTATGGTATGGGCTAGCTTGTGGTGCAGCACAACAGCTTACAATCTTACACAAATCTACAGTATTCCCCCTCCCATAACTGGTCCTGTAGCACGTGCCTGAGTATTCCTTCTGAGCAAAACGCCAGTTTGGCTTGAGTTTGTGGGATTTTATCAGCTCTCCAATGTGAAATGTCACTTTAAGTTGTGGGGGAGTCCTTCCAATGATCAGTAACAACACCTGTGGCCTGACACAAACAGAGACCCTAACTAACTAACTATAGGCCTGTCTCAGTCTCTGGAGGCGCCAACACTGAAATGAGGAGCGTGCACGATCTTACCGACCCGGGTCTGCCTTGCATCCACTGGTGACTCAGAACAGAACAAATGTCTCTCCAACAAGCATGCGATCTCATCAGCCTTAATGCCAGCGATCTTCCTTTCTCTGAACAGGATCAGCGTCTTGAACACCATCAGCTACACTAGCTGCAGTTCTCACACCTGGATGCCAACGGATTCTCTGCTCACATGGCTCTTTCCTTCACCATCATCAAAACATGGCTGCAGTTTCTCTTGCTGTTCACTGAGCTCCCATGTGTAAAACCCCACCCCTTACTGAATATAGAAATATCTATGCAGTCTGAGGCTGTGTTAGAAAAACAGTGACATCTTGTGGATAAATCGCAGAATGTCAGTAAAACATTTCAAAACATTTAATTCACAATGAGAGCTGTTTCCCCATCTCACAGCTGAATTCATCTGGCTAACGCAAAAGCTGGGGAGCAGTGTGTAATCCTGCCTACAGTGTCTGCTTGGCTACTCTAGCTGTTTGGTAATATCGCAGCAGCTGGTGTGCCATAAACAGTGCACAGTAGCTGCAGCCACTGTGGGTTTACTAATAATACAGGCTGGAATCACTATAGTGGTTGTTGTGTTGAGCCTTTGGCTGTGGAGACTGCAGACAGGTCCTATAAGCACCTGCCGGGACCTAGGCTTTTGCCTAGGTTGCCTTTCAGGTGACCTAGCCTTGTTAACATGTCATGTAATCCAAATCTTTGGTAATAAGTGTGTCAATATATCATACAAGTATGTGGTCACATCAGTCCCATGTCAGATGTCTCATGGTATGATTTCTTTAATATTATTATTATCATGATACAGGATTTATATAGCACCGACAGTTTGCACATCACTTTACAATTTAAAGGGAAACACTGCAGTTACAATACAATAAAATACAAGAGGGTTAAAGTAGAACTATAGAAAAAAATTCTATCGTTTTGAATAGAGTAAGGGAGGGTTATAATCTTCACTTCCTCCCCAAAGCCAAACAGGACATGATAAATAATCCTTGGGGACCCCCAAGTCACCAGAACTAGTGTCCCCATTGGACAATGTCTCCTCTATTACTTTTCTGGGGAGATTTTCTTTTACTTTCACTTTCAGTGAAAACAGTAAACAGGACAAACAGAGAGGGTGAATCTCTCTAACGGGGGCACAGACAGCAATAGAAACCTAATAGGTGCTCTAATCTATCTTCACTATATCCAAAACTGAAAAGAGCTTATAATTTAATAGGGTGGGGCAAGTGGTACAAAAGATTTTAACTCTGTGGAATGAACTGATGAAAGTTATAAAAGTTCAGTTAGTTGGAGGTGTGATAGGCTTCCCTGAAGAGATGAGTTTTCATGGATTGCCTAAAGGCAGCCAGAGTAGGAGATAGCTGGACAGACTGAAGTAGACCATTCCAGAGGATGGGGGAAGCTCTGAAGAAGAAGACGAGCATGGGAGAAGAAGAGAAAAGAGCTTGAGAGCAGGAGGTCTTGAGAAAAGCAGAGAGGATTGTTTGGGTGATATTTGGAGACAAGATTGATGATGTAGCTTGGGGAAGAGCTGTGGATTGGCAGAGAGGGGTGTCAGACACTAAGCTTAATATTAGAGTTTTCAGCCTGTAGTCACCATGGTGGTTGTTGTGCTGAACCTGTGGCTGCAGGAACTGCAGACAGGCCTCATAGACACCTGCCAGGACCTAGGTTCTTCCTAAATTGCCTTTCAGGTGACCTCGCCCTGATGACATGTCATGTAGTCCAGATTTTTGGTAATAACAATGTCAGTATTTCATACAAGTATGTGGTCACATCAGTGCCATGTCAGACCTCTCGAGGTATGGTCCTCTTAATATTATTAGAGCTTTCCCCTCTTCAGTTAAAACAATAAAGTTCAGAATTTGATTTGCCTAGCAGAGAAACTTAATGTAGAAGGATAAATGAATACTTTGAGCACATGTTATTAAATAAATTTGTGGACACTTCAAAATATTATTGATGTTAATGGATGTTAATTTATAGTGAAGAGGGCTGTATTTTGCGCTGTTATTATATATTACTTTGAGCACATTGCCAGCTGTGTAAAATAATTAAGCTATTTACATGGTACATGCTGAATGGTGCTGTCAACTGCAAATATACTTGCAGAAAAATTAAAACTCACAGGATTTGGAGTATATCTTCTATGTTCGTTTCTCTATTAGTGCAGTGTAGTGATATATGTTTGTGTGTATGGTATAAGAAGGACTAAGAATAAGTAGATTTGACTACTTTTTCGTTTTTTTCGTGCAATGCCCTGCTAATTCTGTATGATCCAGCAGCGGGCTATACCCATTCTGCACAGGACTCAAGCATATGTGATGTGAAGTAATGTATTTATAATAGTCCAGTCTCTGCTGTAGTCAATTAAAATTCAGAAACTGTCCACTGATTTTAAGATCTTTGCCCAAAGTGGCAAGCTAATTTGTTGCCAGGGAAGACATGGTACTTTTGCAGGCTTTTTCAGTTTCTAATACATGTATTCTTATAGATGTAATATACATGTACAGGTGCTGTCTACTCATGTACTGCATCCAGTAAAAAGAATGATCAATACCTTCTTTGAAAGTCACATTACTAATGTTTTAGTACACACGTTCTGGTATTAAAATACTACAGGGCTTTTAGCTACATAAAAATAGTTCTTATGCTTTGCAGCTTTGTGCATTTACTATTGTAAGAGATTTATTTCTAAGGCAGGACGATTCTGCAGAACTGCACTAAAATGCCACTATATCTAATGGTAGATTCATTGGCCTATGCTAGGGCCTAATTGAAGCACTGTATCATTCCCATGTATATTTCTATTATAATTAATCTGTTAAGTAATATACCTATAAACTAAGTAGGCATAAAACCAGAACTTTAGTGCTGAGGATGCATGTATTTCCTGCAAGGCATTAGCTTTGCTTGGGCAAGAGTTTGCTGGGAAATATTTGTCTTAAATAAGACTTAGAACAATTTCATTAGCTATATCATTTATTTACAGGCCTTTCTGAAAACTGTAGAAGAGGTCCTGTCACTGCCCACTTGGACTGACGTACCATCAGTAAGTACACCCAACTGTTTCATAACTCGTGAAATATTTCTGGTTGGAAAATATATATATATATTTATTTTTAAGACTATTAGGTATATATAGGATATATTCAAAACTCATTATCTGTCTCTCATGCAAACCCTGTAAAAATATTATTTGTGACACTATTCATTTTTCAAAAACTATTCAAAAATAATACACAAAAATGTAAGTACAATTGTTCAAAAACCTTTATAGTTCACCTTTAAGCAGTCCTCTCTATAATAATAGCATTAGTCACTCAGGATGCACACACAATTGTCAAGGCACTCACAGGTCACCAGATATGTACTGCTTGTTCCAGGTTACTGATTCTCCCTGGTGCCCAAACCTGCAGACCGAGGGCCACCTTTTGCCCTTTGATATTTGATGTGTGGCCCTCGGACCTCAGTAGTCTGTAGTGGGAACATTGATTAGAGTAATAGCATTGATTTCTACTAGCCTCATTAAACAAGTTCCTAGTTTCGTTAGGTCTGTAGTTTCTGACAGTCCCTTCAAGCATTACATAGATTAAACATTATGTGCAACCCTTTGGTGATCTTAAGAGCCACATTTGAGGCGCTTTATAGCACATAAGTTGACAACCACTGCTCTAAGTATTGAAAAAAAGGGTAGCAATAGCAACCCTGAAATACAGTTCAGCAAGGAGTACATCCTTATTTCTATAACAACAGGTGCTCTTTAATACTTAGAATTCTCAAAACATTATTTTGGTGTGTAACACATGCAAAGTAAATTAATGTATATAAGGAAACTATTTTTAAGTCCATATTGGTATCTGTCTGATTATAAAATCTATGGATTTGAAGAGTCCTCTTCTCTCCTGAAAAACTGACTGGCATACGCAGAAGTCCAGTAGAAAATCAAAAACTGAAGAGCAAACTTGTTAAACCCAAAAGGTAACTTCTCATTCTCCGATAAAGAGCACATGGCTCGCATCTACTTTATTATCGTGAACTTTGGACATTAATAATAAAACACACATTATTCACTAATGTGATGTGCTAAAAATTACTTTCAGCTCTGAAATGTCTAAATCATTTAGAGAATTTTGCAACCATGTCAAGTTAGACTTGAATCATCTCTGATCTCTTTCTAAGTTATAGAAATGGTTGCTAAATAAAATGAGATATTTTATCTGAGTGTGGGCTTCACTTTCTTCTTTCAACAGATTGACATTTTTTACATTCTTATTCCTTCTGTGTGTCATATTCTTGCCTAATTTAAACCATGTCCCACTTGAATTTTTCTTGAATTAGGCCAACAAGAAACTGACACATTTAAATAATAGTACTAAAAGTAGTAGAAGTACTAGTTGAAGTAATATAAACAGAAATTAAATAAAATATATCATTTAATTTATACAAGGGCCTTGTGTGAAAGCCTCAACAAGTCTAAAATCTAGTTACTATGTGATGCACAAGCCTTATAATTAAAGAAAAAAACTTTCTTTACCTTCCCTGTCTCAGGGAAAGGGACCATTTGTGTTTCACATGGCACTACAGATCACAGTGGGTAACACTTGATATCCATGCCCCCTGCAACATTTTCTCATCCCACTGTACTGCAAGCATGTATAGCATACATGAGAGTGGCAACTCTGCTCTGAATTTGGAAATTTGGAAAATAGCTTTTTTCCATATAATTTTCGTGGGGCTAATAATTTTTACAAGGTAGGTAGCCTGGTCTTTCTCAACCCTCCACAGTTACACAAGCTTAGGATCAGCATGCAGAATGTGATAACCAGTTGCGTCCCGAGTCAGGTGCGGGGGGTGTGGTCCGCACGGGGTGACACCGACCGCACAGGGTGACCCCGGACCCACTCCACAAAAAGGTAAGTTGTAAAGCAAGCCAACGATCCCCACAGGATAGATCCGATCCATCCTGCGGAGATCGTCAACTTTCTTTACAACTTACCTTTTCTTAGAGCGGGTCCAGTGTCACCCCGTATAGGTTGTATGCCGATGATCCTGTGGGGATCGCCGGCATGTAACCTCTACGGGGTGACACTGGACCCGCTCCAAGAAAAGGTAAGCTGTAAAGAAAGCTGACGATCCCAGCAGGATGGATCAAATCTGCGGATTGAGCATAATGGATTGGAATCCGATCCATTATGCTCAATCCGCAGAGCCGATCCATTCTGCGGGGATCGTCGGAGGGGGTGTCACCAAGTGTTACTGCACCAGGTGACACCAACCCTAGGGATGTCTCTGGTGATAACTCATGTGCATAACCAATTTGTACACACACACAAGGGCCAATTTAGACAGGAGCCAATCAATCTACCCGCATGCCTTTGGACTGTGGAAGAAAAACAAAATAACAGCAGGAAACTCAAGCAAGCACAGGAAGAACGTGCAGACTCCATGCAGTGTCCTGGCTGAAATTCAACCCAGGGACCCTACTTCGTGTAGCACCGTTCCAAGCGCCAGTACCATTGCTCTGATAATCCACTACTGATTAGCGTGCTGGCGTGAATATGCTCATCCAGGAAGCATTATAACCGAACATAGGAAGATGCTGAATGGGCTGAAATTGCACCACACAAAACTACATGTGAATAGCACAGAAATGTGCAGCAAATTCCAGTGCGATTCCTAGTGTGAATGGGCCCTTAAAGATATTGCATAATAAAATATAACCTTTGATATTCACTGTATGTATATACTGTTACAGAAAAGCAAAAAGTGAACTAAAACAGACACAACACTGAATCTAACATGAACTTTAATTTGTTTTCTTGCAGGTTCATCCTGAAGTTGCAGGGCTTATTGATACAGTTGACAAAGTGATGGGACATATGGCAAGAAACCTACTGGAAAGCCCCTCTGTGATTGTGACATTGGAAGGCCGTTCATCCGTGGCCGGTAACAGATTGCATTTCAATTAAACAGATTTTAGTGGTTAACTTCATAACACATTTACAGCGTTGTAAGAAAAAGAATCACAGAGGTTGCAGCTGCATCAATGTCTATTATCTTGGTGTAACTAGGTGACCCTCTCTGCTCTGAAACTAGTACTGTTCTTTTGCACATCAGCTCACTTTTACAGTACTTTTATGAACTAGGTTGACACCCCTGGAGAGTACTGTACTCTTCCCCGGGATATGCATAAGTAGGTGGTATGGTTTTGGTACTGTAACAGTTTAGCTATGTTTTTCATAGCTAAACTGTAACAAACCTTGGGTAAGTATTGGCCTGCTAAAGTAGGTATTGGCCCTTGTGTTCAAGCTCTTCTTTAGTTTGACATCATATAGCACTCACAGGAGCTGTATTAAGCAATGTGAATGAGCCATTTATCCATATTGATCCCATGCCGTCCTTCACTGATGCTTTACACAGGCCCCGACTTATTAATCACTTTTTTTTTATCATGTTGAAAGTGTAATATGCATAACTTAATTTGTAACTTCTATATCTCCTGTTTTGTAAAATGCGTAGAGTTCATGATATCCCACCATTGAAGCTGGGAATAATAATTTTGATCATTGGAGGATCAATAAGATGATTAATTGATATTATTGATGGAATATTATTAGGAGGTTATATGTACAAATAATAACAGCTTTGTTTTGGGGTGGAGGACATCTTTGGCCAACCAGTGATATACCTTTTAATCAGGCTCCAACAGTCCTGGCCAAAATTTCTCTCGAACTCCCCATGTGTAGACAGTGGTACACCCAAGCCATCTAGTCATTCTTTCAGAAAATAAATTTGTGGCTGACAGCTGTGTGATGCTTACAGGGAATGATGTGTTCAAATATGATTGTGCGGTGGTATGTCATTACAATATGTCGCAACAAACCTGAATGCTATGTGATATACTTGGTCCAAGAAAAAGACGGTATATAATGTTTTTAAAATGTGGAAAAATACAACAGTCTAAGTCACAGATAAAAAAAGGATGTTTATTTTACATATTACAGTATTGACATTTGATCCTTTTCTACGTAAGAATGTGGAAATACATAATTGAATTTGTAGCAAATTATTGTATATGGAGCTAAAGCATACATGTGTACAAACATTTCTTTTGAAGTTCAGTAAAAAAGCAAAGTGATGTTTGATGTACCAACACAAGGAGCACAGACCCTGTCATACACTATTCCTGTTAATGTGTGGGAAAAATCAAAAGATGGGCGTTTAGTGGAAATAAAATGGTCTTTGTTGCTGTGGTCATTCATTGGCTGGAAGAAATCATGGAAAATAAACATTCTGTTATTAAGGACAATAAACTAATATTAAACTGTTAGTGTAAACAAACCATTTGTACTAAGATACACAACAGCAAAATATTATATTATTGGTTGGAGATGTAAGTGAACAGCCAGATAAAAGAAAAAAATTGCTTTTGGGTACATTAATAATTGTACCATTACTTTTGCACTGCAAGAATGTAACTACCTGCACAGTTAGAATAGTAATGAATAAAATATAGAGTATAACACCCATTAGCAGAATAGAACTATGTGCAAACAATTGCCATAAGAAATACAGATTGCTGGATTTTACCTATTTATTTTATTTATAAAGCTTGCAACATAGAATATAATACACAGAAACATAATTTGTGAACGCTTATTTTGCTAGATGAATTTTACACAGCAAAGCCATTTTTCTTTTCTCTCCGTTATTTCTACTTTTCTCCTTGTTTTAGACAGTAAAATATAAATGAAATAAGAAAGGTTGCAGGTCTGCTGTAGTAAAATTAATTTTAATTGACACAATAGCATAAATCCGCTTACATCAGAGTTAATACTGAAGCGCTTGTACCAGGACAATCAGGATAGCAGCCAGTAGTCTATACTCTATGTAAATACAATGCCAGAAACATATGGCTTATTTGTTAGAAAGAATTACAGTATTTAGTATATAATAGTACATGAGCCAAGGTTAACAATTTATGGTTGGTGATGCTTATAAATCTAGCTTTTCAGGAGCTGATAAGAATCAGTAGATTCTGGCACTGAAGCCTGGGAACTTTCAGTGCAGGAAGGGTTAATTTTCAGGTCAAGACAGGTAAGTATGCTAACAGCGGGTTATGTTTATGAAAGGGAAGGACAGCATGAGGTTGGGACAGTAGGAGTCAGGCCCAAAGTGGCACAGTTCACCTGTAGGAGTGCTGGTTGGTGGTCCACCCAGAAGCACAGCTGATGTACGGAGATAGGTCTGCAGACAGGTGGCGCCTGTGTGAGGTATGCAAGCCCTTCCGGGATTTAGAGGTTTACTGGATAGCCAGTTCAAGCCAAGGTCAGGTACCAGGTGGGAATCAGAGCAGACGTAGTCAGATGGGATAGCCGAGGTCATACACAGAGGAGTGAGAGAGAGAGTATCCGTAAGCCTAGCCGAGGTCAGATCAGGGGTTAAGCAGAGTAGACAGGTTCAAGAGCAAGCCGAGTTGGTATCAGGAAATCACAGGTCACAGTAACACAGGAAACAGGAAACAGGAACAAGGCACGGGGAGCTAGAGATCATCCAGCAACTTGAGGAAGTGATGATCCTTCTTATAAAGGCCATCTGGCACCAAACTGAGGCTGATGCGTGCTTCTGCGGCCATGCAGGGTACTGGCAGATATGCCAGATCTTCCAGAACTTCTGCCATGGACAGGACCCTGACAGGTGCTCAATTCCAGTAGCACCTCAGCCTGGAGAGGAACAATGTTTCTCTATGGTTTCCTGGGTCAATGGAGCTGTGTTCACGTTGGCTACTCTGCGCCCATGTGACCCTCGGTGGCCGTCTTGTGTCAGCAGGGTCTATTTAAGTCCCTGCCCCCGAGTTCTTGCATGTGGGGAAAGGTTCCTGATGAGGTGGGAAAGCTTAGGGACTCACTGCCTTGGAAAGGAGCTTCCTTCTTAGGACCAGACCAGCCAAGTGGTGCTTTACCCTCTGAAACAGATGCTGTTGGCAACTCTCCTCCTCTACATCTTACTATATTAAACTTTCAGTTATTTCCCTAGCAGTGCTCTCCCGCCTGGATGTTTGTAACATTGACATTTGGTTTAGATTCAAGTTTCACTGCAACTGGGGTCTGTATGTTTACTGCCTGCACCATGCTGCACTTCCCCACACGCTGACCCCCAAAGGAGCCGCTGGATTTGCCCAAGTTCTTTCCTATTCAGTGCAAAGGCAGCCAGGCACACAGCAAACAGTTCCCTAACTGCAGCTCAGAAAACAGTCTAGGGGATATCTATTTGAGCTTTATTGCTGTAGAACTTGAACAGAAGGAGAACAATGGGGCATGGTATACTCCAAATTGCTTGAATGCAGAATTAAACTGAGGATACTTCAGTATATAGCAGTAACACAGTCACAAAGCTTACAGCTGAAGGCCATGAACAAAAGGATTTTTTAATATGGATTGCGGTAGCCTGGAGAAGTCTAATACCCTTGAAGTTGATGATAACAAAGGATGTTGAGCAGATTCAGGGCTAACTGGAACAGTCACTATCCACAACTGTAGACCATGGTAGACCTCAGCTCAGTAATCAAGCTCTACTCATAGACCCGGGAGAGAGATCCATGTTTAAGGGTTCTGTCCATAGCACTGAGTATTCTAGTTGCCAGTCTAGGATGACTCCAGGGGAAAGCAGCCCCTGAAGCCTCAGCAATCCATCCTCAGGCAGGTAGAACCAGAGGGCAAGGCTCAGGGTTAAAGGGATGGGTTATTGTTACGGTTACAGGGAGGGTTAGCATTATGGCTACAGGAAAGGTTAGTTTGAAGGCAAGGTTTAGTGTTACCCAGATGGTTAGTGTTATGGTTACAGGGAGGGTTATTATTAAAGTTACAGGGAGGGTTAGTGTGAGGGCAAGGCTTAGGGTTACAGGGATGGTAAGTGTTAGGGTTACAGGGGGGGGTTAGTATTAAGGTTACAGGGAGGGATAGTGTGAGGGCAAGGCTTAGGGTTACATGGATGGTAACTGTCAGGGTTACAGGTAGGGTTAGTATTAAAGTTACAGGGAAATTTAGTTTGAAGGCAAGGCTTAGGGTTACAGGAGAATTAGTGTTAGGGTTAAAAGAACAGTTAGTGTGCAGGCAAGGGTTAGTGCTACAGGAAGGGTTAGTGTTGGGGTTGCAGGGAGGGTTAATATTAAGATTACAGGGAGATTTACAATGCGGTTTGAGGGCAAGGATTTTGATTACCGCAGGGTTAATATTAGGGTTACAGGAATGACTAGTATTAAGGCTACAGAGAGGGTTAGTGTATAGGCAAGGCTTAGTGTTACCCAGATGGCTAGTATTAAGGTTACAGGGAGAGTTAGTGTGAGAGCATGGCTTAGGGTTACAGGGATGGTAAGTGTTAGGGTTATGGTTAGGGTTAGTATTAAGGTTACAGGGAGATTTAGTTTGAAGGCAAGGCTTAGGGTTACTGGAGAATTAGAGTTAGATTTACAGGGAGGGTTAATATTAAGGATACAGGGAGGGTTAGTGTGCGGGCAAGACTTATGGGATACAGGAATGGTTAATTTTTGGGTTACAAAGATTCTTAGTATTAATATTACAGGGATATTTACAATGTGGTTTGAGGGTAAGGCTTAGGGTTACCAGAGGGTTAGTGCTGGGTTAGAGGGAAGACTAGTATTAAGGTTTCAGAGAAGGTTAGTGTACGGGCAAGGCTTAGGGATGGTTATTGTTAGGGTAACAGTGATGCTTAGTGTTAAAATGACAGGGTGTTTTAGTGTGAGGACAAAGCTTAAGGTTACAGGAGGGTTAGTTTTAGGGTTACATAGAGGGTTAGTATTTATGTGGTTCTAAAGGTAAAATGTTTTTTTTTACCTTAATGCATTTCTATGCATTAAGTTAGAAAAAAAAACTTTCTTTGTGCAGCTCCCCGCCCCAGCCTGCTCTCATACTTACGTGAACCTGATCTTGATTTTTCTGTTTTTCTGTCCAGTGAGGATAGAGAGAGCCAAAAGAGCAATGGCTCTTTTGGCTCTCTCTATCCTCACTGGACAGAAAAACAGCAATGGGAGCCAGTGGCTCATGCTGCTGTCAATCACAGCCAGGGCATGGCTGAGTGCCCCAAAGCAAGCGGCTTGCTATGGGGGTGTTTGGCAAGTGGGAAGATCCAGGAGCACTGGTGAGAGATCTCAGAAGAGCAGGATTGGGGCTCAGTATTAAAGTTACAGGGAGGGTTACAAGGAAGGTTAGTGTGAAGGATGGTGTTAGACTTATTTCACTTGTTTGAACTGCAGTAAGATGCTCGTTTTTCTGTGCATTACCACAATGAACAGTAGTGTGAGTATCATGATGCAATGTAGTGCCATGCACCCCAACGCAAATCTTCAACAGGTGAAAACAAACCTGCATTTTAACACACAGCAGTGCAAAGATGTGAACCATTCAAAATGGATGATGTATAATCTATATGCCAACACAAGCAACCTAGCACACATTAACATGCATTCAGTAATGCACCACACATATGTGGACCCAGTCTTAGGGTTGTAGGGGTATTAGTGTGAGAGTTATAAGGAGGGTTAATGTTAGGGTTAAAGGGAGAATTAGTGTTAGTGTTACAGGAAGGGTTAATATGAGCGATGTAGAGAGGGTTAGTGTGAGGTCTAGTGTTAGTATTGCAAGGTAGGGCATTGTTCTCTGCCCCCAGATCTCAGCGCTGAATTCTGCCAGTGCTGATCTGATAGCAGTGAAGGTTAATGCATCAGGCTTCCTTTTGACAAATGTGCCAGATGACAGGCTGTATATCTGTGATTAAAGACTTTTGCACATCACCTAAAAGGAATGCCCAGCACACATTTCTGAGCCTTTCTAAGCACGCTGAAGGGCTTCAGAAGGTCAGCTTCAATTTTTATTGGGCTTTACAATGCATATACACTTTGAGCCTGTAGCCATTTTCGATTTATGCTTGGGCAGGCTAGTTGTACACAAGTTGGTCTATTGATTGACTTGTGTACAACCAGCCTGTCGAGTTTCCCGAATGATCAGTGCTCCTGGCTATAGCTGGAAACACTGATCATTGTATTCTGATGGCGGGGAAGGCTCCCTGCTATTAGAATACAATACCACAGTGGGAAGGACTCCCCCATGCACCTCAAATGTGTGGATGGGGAAATCTGCTCATTTTTTCCCATTCAACTTACCAGTTGAATGAAAAAAATGAATCATGTATAGCAAGCTTAACAATCACTTTGTTCCCAAGAATGCTCAGTTAAAGTTATTGTGTGCTGCTCTGTAGACAATGTCTTTCTCCTTATCTAACAAAAACAGACATAATCAGGTGACTGACATCTATAGGCACTTTAGGATTTTCTACTCTCAGGGAATTATTTGGATGAATTTCAAGGCTATAGTTTCTAATTTTCTAATAATTGCACACCTGCACCATTCAGAATAAAAAACTATTGTTTCAGTAGTAAAACCAAACAAGAAATTGCAGCCTTACAGAATGAAAAGGGTCATTTAAACTACTTTTTGTATTGAATATTGATAAATATTCTTTTTTATAAATGCAGCCACTGTCATTTGTTAATTTACAGATTACTCCATGGTAAAGGTGCCTCAGGCTTTGAGCTTGCCACACTACCGCTTTCCTTCTGAAGGACAGTCTTACATCTCTGTTCCCGGGGAAGCATTTCTAAGCAAATGTAAGTTCTGTTTTATGTATATACAGTATATATATTCTGTTACTTTGTCACATATTATCTTTCTATTTTATTGAGTCTAAAAGGAAACTGTAATGATTTTAGGACAATTTAGTTTTTTACAAATAACATTAAATAAAGGATGCAACTATGACACCGATTTTCATAGTGCACCATGGGTTTAGTAAAGAGGAAGCACAACAGTGGCGTTTTCCTTTCAAACTCTATCCCTAATTAAAACTCTGGAGCTCTACAGAGCAGTAAGGTAAGGAGGAAGAGTCACTCCTCTAGCTCATCCAGCTGTGTGTTTGTAAAACAAGTGTTTTTCAGCAAAGATTAATATGCTAAACATGTGAAACGGAGCCTACAGCTCCACCTGCTGGCTGTAACAGCATGCATATTTTAAATTAATTTACACCTTATGTTTATATGCATGAACATATTTACCTAGTGAACAAGAAAAAAAAACTTTTTAAGCCTTGGATTTATATAATTACATTACAAATTAATAAACATTACCTTTAATATTTAACTTAACTTAGCTGTAAGAGTTTGCATAGACTGATGAAGACAGGTTCTTTCAAAACATATCATTAGGGTAGGGGTATTCCAACCTTTCTGCTACTTTGTGTTCTATATGATATTTATCCACTGCCAGTGCTTCTTGCAATTAGTCGCTCAGGAAAGATCCACCTCTCAGTTAATGAATACACCCACCTAAAGGTTATTTCTTAACCACTTCGTTCCCCATTTGATCTCCTGATAGAACACAGCCTGAGGGACACTCTACACATGCTCAGTTTGGTGTGTACTACTAGAGAATGTTTTCTTTTTCTGTCGAGGGTGCATGTTATCAGCACAGGGCCAATCAGCACTGTCCAGACAGAGGGTCAGGGGTTATGCTATCTCATAAGACAATTGGGAGAATGAAAACTCCTCCTACAAGCTTTAACCAGTGCTCAGCTGGAGAAGTCACAAGGCTGTTCTAACTGCTGATTAGACAAGGTATTTAGCAGTTTATATTTACTAAAATAATTACATTTCCATGCAGTGTGTATTGTGGGAGACCAGATATAGTGAATGCTGTGTCCTGGGTTTGGTAACACTTTAAATCCAAAACCAGCCATCATATCTAAGAATTGGTGAGCTGCAATTTGACACATTTTTGTTTTTGAGTTCAGTTCGCACTTACATTCTCTCTAGTAAGTTTAATTATTTTACATGGAGATTGCCTTAGTTATTTAATCATGGTCAGAAAGCTCACTTTTTAGTTTAAGGCCGCATGCACACTGGACGTTTTTACAGCTGCTCCTAGGGCTGTCTGATGGTTTTTTCCTGCCTCTAAAATCCCCTGAATGTTAGCCTATGTGTCCATGCACACAACAAATTTTAATGTGTTTAGTGGCAGGAGAGTTTGGAGGCAGGAACGAAAACCCCACGTGAAAGTTATAGTGTTTACAAATGGCGGTATATATACTGTTTTTTTTGTTTTACTAGTAATGGCGGTGATCAGAAACTTATAGTGGGACTGCGGCGGGCATTCAGACACTGGGGGGAACTGACTTGGTGTCACTGACATCCCCAGTGACACCAATACTGTGATCAGTGTTAATAAAAAGCACTGACACTGTACTAAAAGCACTGGGCATCAAGGAGTTAACATCTTGGGCGATCAAAGGGATAACTGTGCACTGTGTGTGTGCTTTACACTGTAAGCCTACTGCTTTGTATGGCTCTGCTATGCAGAGCCATACAAAGTAGTGGGCAGGAGCTGACGGGAGAGATCTGTGTTGTTTATACTCGGCGATCAACAGGTGATGGCAGGGAATTACCCGCCGGGACCCAGTGATTGACAGCCGAGGCTACGATACCCGGAACTGCATATATACGTGATTTTGCGCAGCCGTGATGCCCCATAGCAGTATTTCTGCTATAGGAGGTGCAGAAGCGGTTATGGAAATGTCCTGTGTGCATGAGGCCTAAAGCATACAAATTTGACATCAGCAGAATTTTTTACATTTTGACTCCAATCCATTTTACAGTTTTTGTTGTGCTCTTTAAGGATGTTGTTGTTTTTGCTTTGAATGGCTGGCCAATGCACTAAACCACTCATTTCCATTGCAGCATGATGCAGCTTATGGCAAAATACTGCCTTGAGGTGCACTCCCCAAAAAGATAGCATGTGTTTTCTTGTGTAATGGGGTGCATTTGTAACACATTAAAAATGAATGATCTTTTGTAATACAATGCACATTTGAAGCCAGCCTTAAAGACATTTTACTGTTTTTCATGATGTTATAAAAATTGTGCCCACAGTCTGCTCTCAGGTGCACTTTAAAGCCCCTTTCGTACGTGCAGACCAGTCAGTTCACTCTTCGGATGCTGCTTCATCCATTTTTAAACAGTTTTTCATCCATTTTTCATCAGTTTTTCACATCCACCAACAGGAGCCCTTAACCACTTGAGTCTCTGAGCCATTTTTTCGATTTATTTCAAGCAGAAATGTTATTCATTAAACGTTTATCTGTTTACATCTGTTTTTCGTCTGTTCTGTTTTTTTAATCTAACAAAAATAGGGCTTTGATCCATTTCAAAACACGGATGTTGACAGATGCAGATGTAAATGAATGTAAATGGATGATAATCCATAGTAAGAACAGTTTTTGCAATAATAATGGCCTGTGGATATATTTTATTTTTTTTAGTACTCAGGAATCTGACTCTTTAGCTATAAAATTAAAATTGCAATATTTGCATTTTCTAGAATTCCTGAAAACTGCACATCAGTCAGTTTTAAACTTTTTGAATTCCAGACATTAGGCTCATTCCACTTAAGTTTTCAAAACATGTAAACATGAACCTTATAGTTGTTGGAACTGAGAATACGTTTCCGATTTCCTAAAAATGTCAGGTCCTTTGTACTTAGGTGTTCAAAGTGATAGGTGAGAAGTTTGAAGAGTACTTTTGTAAAGAGCAGCTTAATTTTAAGCCATATTTTTACTTTAAATGAACCTAATTTTTTAGAAAATCAGATGGTTTTAAGTTTTATTTTGTTTCAATTGCTGATGTTCTTTGCATTTTCAGTAAAATACAAATTATACTTTCAGAATCTTTAAAAAATGTTCTTCTGTCACTATACATTATGCAATGATGTGGTGCTTCCCAGCAGTTGAAAAGTAATTTAAATAATTTATATCTCTTTGCGCTATGGAACTTGATATATCTTTTTTAAACCTAACCTTTTCTTCATCGGAAGGGCAATGAATACGTTGAAAGAAAAGATGGTTCTTTTTTCTCTTTCTATTAAATCACAATGCCTAGCAGGCCACTGTGGCAGTGATGTATTTAAAATAAGGTGCCATTATGTTTGCATTTTGTGCTACCAGTCTCTGATTCATGATGGTTTCTTTACACTTTGAATGAACTCAAAGCTTGTCATCCAGAAATCACTAGGCAGCTTCACAGTCAACGCCAATGGGAAGATGAGGTGATATTCAAATAAGCCAGTGAACAGAATTTGACCAACTGGAATAGAGTTAGGGCACAATTAGAATTTGCATAGTACATGGCCAAAATATTACATTTATGACTGTAAAAACAATACAGTGTGATAATAATTTAAAATGACAGGTTGGAATGGATAAATGATCACTGTGAGGTGCTTAGAGACATATTGATATTATGCACATTAATTAAGTTGAGTTCCAAATAAAAATATAAGTTAGTGTATCAGCAATAGGAAATGTTTAAGGATGATGGCACTGCCATGTCAAGCAATTGCAGAATAACTTCACCCCTCAAATCTCTCATGTCTCCATTAGCACTCTTTCAAAGCAGTAACTACAGAGCAGTATTGCTCGTGACCACTGTCATGTTGTCAGTGTTAAAAAACAAACAGTGAGGTTTGGAAATACATTTGTATTCTTCAGATAATATTACTGCAAGCAGAACTCCAGGAAAATATCATACCGTCAGGATCAGTTATATGCCCAGCATTTGAGTTTTACCTTTTGTCCTGTAGCTGCAAGCATTTTTCACATGCATAGTACAAAACTTAGGTAACTGTGCTCACTTATCTGATGGGTGACCATAGAAAATGATTGCTGAACTTTTGTTTCTTCACCTCTCTTTCCCCAGCCTAATTTACTCAACAATGGAGGAACAACAGCATATTGAAGGGAAGGAAACTATTTTATTCCTTCATGTATAACATCCAGGGTGTTAGGTGGACATCACTGTGCTGAGCAGGGAATTACCAGAAGATAATAAAAAGACCAATTCAGAAACATACAAATATGTATTTTTTTAATGTATAACTGGAATAAACATTTTTTTTTATATTTTCCTGGAATTACAAATGGAAGTTTTTTTAGTCCAATCCTATAAACTAGTAGAAGAAAAATAACACTTAAAGTGGTTTTAAGTCCAGTGCAATTTGCAGTCCATTCAAATGAATAGGCTGCCAAATTGCACTGCAGGGGAATGCATGGGAATTTGGTGTGAGCCAGCCCTTAATCGGCATATCTAGCTAATTACCTGGAAATCCATTTAAAGTGGTTGTAAAGGCTAAAGGTTTTTTTTACCTTCATGCATTCTTTATATGAAGGTAAAAAAAACCTTCTGTGTGCAGCTTGCCCAATACTTACCTAAGCCCCATCGCAATCCATTGTTGTGCATGAGAGCCTTGGCTCTCTGGGGACTCTCCCTCCTCATTGGCTGAGACAGGAGTAGGAGCCATTGGCTCCCACTGCTGTCAATCACAGCCAGTGAGCCAATGAGGCGAGAGAGAGGGCAAGGTTGAGCCCAGGCTCTGTATGTGAATGAACATGCAGAGCAGTGGCTCAGGATCAAGCCTGTTTGGGTACCCCCATTGCCACCTGTTTGCTCTGGGGGCACTTGGCCAGAGGGAGGGGCCAGGAGCAATGCGGGGGGGCACCCAAAAAGATGAGGAGTGGGACTGCTCTGTGCAAAACCACTGCACAGACAAAGTAAGTATGACATGTTTTTCATTTTAGAAAAAAAATTGCCTTTAATATTACTTTAGGTCAAATCAAAAGAAAATAAATAATAATTATGAAGATGTTACTCATCCTGCTTTTTTGTACCTGAGCCCTTGATTGATTATACTATCAACATCTCTACTTTCATTTCCATTTTTAAACTTCAAAAAGAGTTTCAGACATGATATATTATTACATAGTTACATTGGTTCAGCTTGGACCAATGTAACATAATATATGTATCATACCTGGCTGATGCCCCTATAAACTGAAAATCACTTGAAGTAGACACCACTACTTCAGTGATGTCCACTTATTTCTGGGTGTTATGCTGAGTGCGTGGCCTGATGAACTGTGAACACAGGAGGCTGGCTGCTCAGCATGGGTGCCATGCAGAGAATGCCTTGCATTTTCCCAAAGAATGCAAAGTGTTCTCTGATTGAAAGAAGTGGAGAGGCAGGGTGGTGACAATACACTGTCCACTTTTTGTCCTGAGTGGGACCCAGTAGCAAGTGGAGACCACTGGAGAAGCAGTGTCTACTTCAGAGATTTCCATCTTCCAGGGGCATTGACCAGGTATAGTATATGCACAGTTATGTCGGTCCAAGCTGGACCAATGTAACAATGTAACTATGTAAAAATATTGCCTAGAATTAATCTTTAACTGAGCAGGCTGGAGTTAGAAGCGTATTGAGTACTATGCTTCTAGATTCTGTACCAGTTTTATTAATTTCCCCCAAGTTTTCTGCACGGTATTATTGTGCCTTGTCATCCATAGAGTTACAGTGTAAAAGATTGAAAATATAAAGTCAGTTTAGCAGAAACCATTTTACTACTTATTAGCAAGCATGATTCCATTTTAAACCACCATAACGGGTATACTCTTAAGAAAAATTGTAAGTATCAGTTTGACAATAAAATTTGAAATGGGCATTTGAAAAAACTGAAATTCCTATTTTGGGGCTGAATAGAAAAGCATTTGTTCATGTACTGCTTCTTTCCCCATACAAGTCAATTGGAATGCAAAAGCAGCTCCAAGCTGGTTCATGCAGCTTAAAAGGAGGTCAAATGCAGATGAGGAGCATTGTCAAATGCAAATCAGAAGAAGATCAATGGCAGGTCAAATACATCTGTCAGCAAACACTGAATGATCTGAGTGTATCAAGCTAATTTCTAATACAAGCGTAATGAACCAGAAAGCAATCTGCATTTGTCTATTGACACAATTCCGCAGCCTGTCAACAATGATCTTTCATGTATTGTAATGATGTGGTCTTACCTCTTAGAGAAAGGTGTAATTGCTATTATTCAGTTGTATTCCCTCCCAGTCCTCTCCCTGAGCAGATATGTATTCTGTTCCTGAGCACATCAGCTGCAGGACCCCCCATTGTGGCTGCCCAGTCAATAAATGAATGTCTGTACAGGCTGCTGAAGAATTGCAAAACTGTCAGCTAACAAAGTTTTTACTTTTCTGTCTGTTGTCAGAATTACTTTCAGGCAGTAGATAGAAGAGCTGTGTATCCTTACACTCAGTGTGACATTTCTGCTTTGACAGAAAGAACACAAGTACATAATAATATATCAAGTGATCTCTTAGACGTAAGGCTGCACTATTACAACAATTCAAAAATGGAAGCTCAGGTAGTTACAATTGCCTACTGGTGCCTAGTTTTCTTTAAATTTTATCAAGAAAATGCCATCTATTCCTCCAAATGTCTGTTTCTTCAATTGTTTGTAAGCACCATTATATACAGTTAAGATTAAATATTGCATACAATGTGTTGTGGCCAATTTTAATTTTACCTTATCTGCTATAGGGAAGCTGTAAAAGGCTTGGGTTTTTTCATTCAAACAAGTTATTTATTTTGCAATGCTGTTCTTAGATCATTTCTCTAGCTTTCTGTATCATTTCCTACTAAGGTCCTACAAAGTGTTCTTTTACAAAAAATAAACATCTGTCCACACCATCGCTTCTCTCCCTGTTAGACTATGTGAAAAGCAATTTCATGTTTCAAATCTCTTCCCCCTGTTTACAGTTTCCATATTTAGAGACCACTTTTGGGTTATTTAGGTGACTGTAGCCGCTTTCATCTGGACTTGGCATAATTCTCTGAGAGATGCTGATAGCCCCGGAAAGGAGTGGTACAAGTAGAATGTAAAGAATGTTTTCTGACTTGTAAAGAGTCTGCTATTCACAACACAATGTTGTCAATTATTGAGTTGGTGTGATGTGGTGAAAGGGATCTTTAATTAACAGAATATTTCATGTTTAGGTGAGACATTTGTATAATTTTTTTCTGTTAACTCTTTTTTATTCAAGTTCGTACGACAATTGTTGGATTGCTGTACCATACAATGCATCGACACTACAAGCAGATTAAACCTAGCGACACCAGGTATGTTCCATGTGTTAAAAAGCTATCATTCTCTGTCTATCAGATTAAAATTTCACTTGGCCTAAAGCAACAGTATCTATTGAGACCAATGAAAGATGTAAATTTTACTAAAAAGCTTTATCTGATATTTGGTCATTTATAGTTTTTTCCTTGCATTCCGTTATCAAAGTGACTCACACAAAAACTGCCTGTACTACCCATCAGCAACCAGACAATGCAAGTGGAGAATGTAAGTTTGAATGTGATTGGGTTGCTGCTTCTAAATTCACATAATTCTTGTGAAAAATAATTGAAAAAATAAGACACTGCATTTACACACTTCTAATTGCTGTTTGTAGGTCAGGTCAATACATAATAGAACCGTTGTTGGTGAGGCAGCCCTGTAATGCCAAAGATGCCTTTAGAGCTTTCCAACAGTGCTAATAGGAAGTGCAAGAAAAATCTCAGAAGAGAGTTTTGAGATCTCGGGTATTGTTTTAGTAACATAAGTATAAGTATGTGATTTCCAGATTTCCCAATGGGCACAGTAGGATGAAGGCTACAGGGGACAAAAGCAAACAGGCAATTTCTCCTTGAACAGTTACCACATAAGATTGCACTCTAAACTTGGCATGAACTGGTAAAACAATCAAATGTCCTGTGAAAAAGAAATGATCCTACCAGAGTTTGTGGTTCTTTAGGGTGCCAAATGTAATCTTCACACTCTGATGACACTGATGCATGTGTAATACTTTTCTGATCTTCAGTGCTGATTTACACAATGCGGGGCAGATTGAAACTCACAGCTAATTGATACAGTAGTTGTTCAGTTAGGTTTGCATCATGTTCAGGACAGGTTTAGATCAGGTCCAGGTCAGGATTTTATTCCTGTTCACAACTGATGACATGTGTGGTTTGGAAACAGTTCTCACAGAAGTCAATAGCCTGTAATCCGCACCTAAACTTCACCGCACTGCTCAAAAATTGGATAGGATTCTTTTTCAGTCTGCACTGAATCCGTAGTGCCAGTGCACCAGACATACAGTATGTGAACAGGCACCATAGGAAGCAATGTTATTTCACATGTCATGTGGATTGGATGCAGTTCAAACTGCATCCAATCATATGGGAACTGGCACTCACGTACTCGCTCTACAAGGAAAAGGTTTTGTCTAATGAGTGCCTCCAAATGTCTAAGTTGCTCAGTCTTGCACTGTTGAAGTGTAGAAAAGGCCCAGTTGTTACAAATGATGCTCAAATTTGGGATAATGTCTTGTTTTTATTGAACCTTCCCAAGATTAACTTGCAATCTGCAGTTGAAAACATACAATTCACTTCTTGAGTGGCAGATGTAGCTGTTTGGCAGCCTCAGGATTTCTGAAACAGTTCTTTCTGTTTCATAAGTAGTAATTGAATCTGGAGAACAGTTATATCTTCTACAGAAGGAGGTATCAAACTTTTTTTTGGTAAATCATCCATGATGGCTGAGAAAAGAGACCATTTAGTTGTAACCAAGGTGCATTATAATGTTTTGAAATCATTTTCTTTTTTTGGACAAAAGTCCCCTACTCAATCATATATAAGTTTTCAAAAGCAGTGATTGGGATTCCCTTTTATGATTTGGGGACTTATTTTATATATATATATATATATATATATATATATACATTTTGTAGAAACATTTTTTCAAAATCTATGTGTGAAAGTGATATTTAGGAAAACCATTTCTCCATCCTTTGTATGCTTTCAAAAAAACAGGGCTTACCAGCCATGGAAAAATGATTGCATATAGACTGCAGGACTACTAAGGGGTTGAGAGCTAGCATCTTTTTGGTAACAGGCCTGGTCACCTGTCCATAGGTTGTCCACCTGAAACACTTCCTTTTGCAGCAAGGGTGGACACATCAGCCCTTTCGTGGACACCCTTCTCACAGGTTATCTACTTCAACTGCTGCCGCAGCAACAGAAATAGTATACAAAATCCAACAGTGTTAGATACATATGTATGGACGGTTGTACATAGGTAATATGACATGGTAAGAGCAGGTAACGTGGTGACCTGGAAATATAGGATTTCAAGGACTAAATCTCAGGTTCAGATCCCAATTGCCACAAAGTGACAGTGCTAACTACTACACCACCATGCATTTAAATATTCTTAAATTAACTTCAGCCATCATCTAAATGTAAGAATAATATGTTTGAACTCGGAGGTTGTACATAGATAATACCAGATGCTAAGAGCAGACAATATGGTGACCTGGATATATAGAATTTCAAGGAGTAAATCTCAAAATGCAGATAAAAAATTCAAGTCTATGGGTCAGATCAGAAGTGTTGTCATACACTCTTGTGGTAGTTTGTGTGAAAAGTGAGTAACTTACCAATATGATTCCTAAATCTTACAAGGAAACAGTACCATTTTCTGGAATACATTATAAGAAAAGATTTAGCATCTAAACTTTTCTCTGACAGTGTCCTATGAGAAGTTAACTCAGTGCCACAAAGCCACAGTGTTAACTACTATACCACTGTGCGTTTAAATCCTCTTAAGTTAACTTCAGGCGTCAGAGTTCATGCTTTCATTTATCTGCATATATTAAATGCTATGATTTTATCGTGCTATCTTGCTTCATATGATGCTTTCGAAACATAATCTTTTCCAAGTGACAGATAAGTACTTACTGCACGGGATTTAAAAGTAACATCTTTAAATCATTTAGAAGCAAGAAATGTGAATTCCACTGGGTTCAGCTAGGAAGCACATGTCAGTTCAGTGTTCATTGACTTTAGCTTTATTAAATCTGATAACATTTGTTAAGGAGAGTTTCCGTAATATTCATTGCTTATGCCAATATTATCATTATCAGATAAAAAGGGTAAACTGTTATGTTATTTATAGGCCATTTTAACAGAACCAACCCCTGGGGCATCAGCTAAACTGCAGGAAGCGCTATGTTGGCATTAAAATGCAGTTATTTTGTAAATGAATATAAACTAAAAAGCACAACTCATTTCTATTGCAAAATCTAAAACCAGGCAAGATTTTTGAGAACATTAGAATCCATCACTGAAGCCATTACTGTAGGCAGCTCATGAAAGCATGAAGGAATTTCAGAATATGAGTCACAGCAATTAGATCAATCACATCTGATGATAAAGAAGGACAAAATTACTCGAATAGTAAACATTGCGGTATCCTCTGCTATAATATTTCTGCATCAGTCAATGCCACCTGAATGATGTATTGTGGTCAGATATCAGCATTTAGTAGAGTAGTGTTAGTGACTAATGTGATACAATAATTACTCATCACCATTACACAACAACTTAGAGTTATGGCTTTCTGCACTCTTTTCCCTTGGTCACAGCCTGCCATCTCCTGAGTGATAATTCATAAAAATGCTTATTTCTACAGAATGACACCTAGCAAGGCTTATCGATGTCTGTTTGGGCATTGTTGGTAGTATTTTCACGATATCGTTCAGCAGTAGTTTTTAATTATTGCAGTATGATGCACCCTAGCATTGCAAGCATATGTACAGAGGTGTTAGAAAACTATCAAGGAAGGTAACCAGATATAGAAATTAAACAGCGTTTGGTGTGCTTTAAATAATATATATAGTTTAAAAGCTGTGTTAAGACTGCTTCGTTAGGAAGACATTACTTAGTGTGCATTTAAACTAAGCAAACAACTTTAATATAAAGTTGTGTTCAAAATAATAGCAGTCAGACATCACTAACCTGATCAATCACTGTTTTTGATAGAAATGATATTTCTACATGGCAAATAATTTACTAGCAGGTGTAGTAGAGTAATAGAAATCCAACAGACCCAACAGTCATGACATGCATGCTGCTGATTCTGTGTAATTGAATCACTAATTGAAAGGGGCATGTTCAAAATAATAGCAGTGTATAGTTCTATTAGTGAGGTCATTCATTCTTTGAAAAACAGGTGGCAATTATTGCCCTTATTTAACCTCTTGCCGACCACAGATAGCCGAATGACGGCTTCACTGCGGCCGGCCAGTTCTGGGTGGATGTCATATGACGTCCTCCCAGAACGCGCTCTCCTGCACCCGGCGATCTCCGTGATCGCTGCGTCCTACGGACACAGCTGATCACGTGATGTGGTAAAAGGCCAATCACAGCGGCCTTTTACCACCTGATCAGCGGTGTCCAATGACACGCTGATCAGAGGGAAATGCAAGTGCCGGTTCTCGGCTGCACTTTCCTCACACTGTCAGATCGTGAGGAAAGTACTGCCGAGAACCGGCAGTTGTCAGAGCGGGGATCGGCACCGATCATCAGGGCACTGATGATCAGTGCCCTGATGAACGGTGCCCAGCAGTGCCACCCGCAAGTTCCGCCCAGCAGTGCGCCCACTAGCTCTGCCCACCCGTGCCCAGCAGTGCACCCACCTGTGCCTAGCAGTGCACCCACCTGTGCCACTCTGCAGTGCCACCTACCTGTGCCCAGAAGTGCCACCTACATGTGCCCAGCAGTGCCACCCACCTGTGCCCACCAGTGCCACCCACCTGTGCCCACCCACCAGTGCTGCCCACCAGTGCCACCCACCAGTGCAGCCCAGCAGTGCTGCCCGTCAGTGCCACCAGTCAGTGCCCAGGGGTTGTGCCAGTCAGTGCAGCCAGTCAGTGCCCAGCAGTGATGCCAGTCAGTGCCGTCTATCAGTACCCATCATCAGTGTCACCTATCAGTGCCGCCTATCAGTGCTGCATATTAGTGCCACCTATCCGTGATACCTCATTAGTGCTGTCTATCAGTGCCGCCTATCCGTGACACCTCATTAGTACTGCCTATCAGTGCCCATCAGTGCTGCCTATCAGTGCCCATCAGTGCTGCCTCATCAACGCACATCAGTGAAGGAGAAAAAATGCCTGTTTGAAAAATTTTATAATAGAAACAAAGAAACTTTTTTTTTTTTCAAATTTTTTGCACTTTTTTATTTATAGCACAAAAAGTAAAGCGCCCAGCGGGGAGTAAATACCACCAAAA